TAATAACAATACAATTTTTATTTATTTATTTATTACGAGACACGTCTATAAAAATAAAATAGACGACAATGATCAAACATCAGATTAAAAATAAAAATATTTCACCATTCTATGAGTGGGCCATTTGTGACAATTTTAAAAAACGATGAAACTATTTTATTGTTCATCTGATGTGTAATGAGTGTTTAATCGCCTGAAAAAAAATGCTTAATGTTTGTTGACACGTATTATAAGTGTCCTTATAAGTATTACGAGAAAAACGTGGATATTTTTAATATTTGATTAATTCTCCTAATAATTTTCTTAAATATCACGGTAATAATATTTACACAACAGTTCTTCTAATTGTATTTATCATTTATCCTGACGATTTTATTTTTATATTTTCCGCAAATATCAAAGATAGGGAGTCAACTGATGTCTACCTACACATTAACTTATCTAAAGCCAACAACAATATACAGTAGGTAACGGCATAATCCTTATTATCTTATTGTTGTATAATCTCATAAATATTTTAATTTATTTTTTTTAAATTATCAAAACTATAAGTTAACTTTGCCCTTTTAAAAATATTAAAATATTAGTAACATGATACAGAAACTACTGCCTTCTTGGGGGATTATGACAAGGGTACTGCCAATATGGACCAAATCCACATCATCAGTAACTATTGTCGGTGTTTTTTAACAATGTCAAAGACCTTTTTTCCAAGTATAAATGTCGCAAAGGTTACATACAGAAACAACAATCATGAGAAAACGTGATTGAGGAAGGAGAAAAAAACATCCCCCTTACGGAGGGTTGGCCCCTGATTGACAAGAACAAACAGTTAAACCGTTTTTGATTTTTTTTCTGCAGATTAAGTAAATATTAATGATTCAAAATCCACCATCCCTTAGCTTACTAGCGTTATATTCTTAATATAATTTGCCTAATCCTTTGTTAGTTTAAAATTGATTCTTAATATAGTTTATCATCCGTCTGTTATTGTATAAAAGTAAACTGAGAGCAAAAACATGTTTTGTCAATATAATGTATAAATGTAGTAAATCCTACCTTACCAGAGATGCAATATAAATATTGTCTGTATCTCCATTTGGAAATAACCTGTAACATTATATATAGTATAGGTAGGTATCGATTTAATTTGACTAAAACTGTCACAGTTAACACCGCTTTGAACAAAACTGAATAAATTTATCTATTTACATCCTAATAATGCACCGTAACCCTCTCTAAATGTGTCAAGACTTATCTGATAAATAGAGAGTAGGTACTTTTATATCAGTTCAGCCAACTTAGACTACGTTATTTTTACATACGTTTACATGTGTAAATAGAAGACGCTTTAGTTTGTTATTGTGCATTTTTCTTTGAAATGTGTAGTCTACAAAAACAAAGAGAGATAGTCTGATACTAACGATAATTTAAGAAAACATCCTATTCTGCAGCAGTTATTAGTAGCCTATAATGGCAAATCAACAGAAAAAAAGCTATTCTAATGTATCATCATCATAAAGTCGTCAATCCTAATACTGGTTGGACACACACCCCAACTTTTTCCTATCTTCGCATGTCCCTACAACTACAACATTCCACGTCCTTAATTATTTGTGAACAGTAATCTAATTTAGGTCTACTTCTACTCCTCGTGACTCTTGATTCTACTCTAATATGTCTCTAGTACTGCCTGAGAAATAAAAACAAAAATACTGGGCTGCAAGAGAAGGAAAAGTAGGGAAAGAGCGAATATAAAGATAGGAGACGAAAAATTACAAAAAGTGTCAGATAAGCCAGGACGGAAGGAGTAGTAGGGATATAAAGCAGAGGATGGCACAGGATCGAGTCGCCTTCAATAAAAAGAACTCACTTCTATGCTCGCGAACGGTTGATTTAGACATTCGAAAAAGATTGTTAAAGGTGTATGTTTGGAGCGCGGCGCTATACGGGCGGAAAAGATAAAGTCAGAAGCGTTCGAAATGTGGTATTGATACAACTTTATACACTCGGTTATTGGATAGAGTTTTATTTATACGCGGGCACAGGTTAATATTTACACAAGACAAAAAATATATACAAAAGCAAAACTATATACATGTACACGAAGATAACATACATAAAAAAAACAAAAAAACGACAGACAGAGTTAATGGAGAAAACGCACTTACTAGTTACTGGTGACCGGCACTAAGTCGCGGCACGGGGAACACGAAGAAAACTGGTGGTTCGGGGCCCTTCTCCCTTGCCGTGGGTCGGTGGGATATTGGGACTGTCGGTACTGAGGTGAGCACGATTATTTATACAAACCTCAGCTCCGAGCAAGGGTTAGGAAAAAGAGGGGTTGATAGTGGGGTGTGAAGAGTAGGGCGAAAAGAAATGAAAAAAACGAATTCGTTTTTAACATTACTTTCGCGGCGGAAAAATAAAAAATGGATAGCGAGAAGTGATTGAGCAGAGGGGAAAACATAGGGTTGAAAAAAAAGAACGCTGTTGTGAGATAAAAATTAAGAAAGATAGAAAAAGTAAACGTTACAGAAAGAAAGAAAGCCTGTAAAAGAAATAGTAAAAAACAAGTAAGGACATAAGATGGAAACTACAACCGAATAAGTGAAAAAAAGATTATTAAAGAAAACGAAAACATAATTATAAGTAAAATTAAAATATAAGTTAAAAGATGAGAAATGTAAAGTTCGGTTGTAGCATAGGGTGGTAGGCAGGTAATCGGGAGGCCCCATAGGGGTGCAGAAACCGGTCAACTCGGCCGGCGTTGTTGATTCGGAGAATAAATTTCTAAATAAAATTCACGTCCGTATCAGTATTGCAGGCGAATGAGGAGGATGCCGTGGATAGAGAAGGTTAGAAATGAAGAGGTATTAGAAAGAATAGAAGAACAGAGGATTCTAAGAAAGTCGTTATGAAAAAGGCGAGATGAATTGGTAGGACACCTTCTCAGGCATAAAGGGCTAGTCAGAGACATATTAGAAGCAGAAACGGGAGTTAGGAGGAGAGGACCTGGATTAGATTACTGTTCGCAAATAGTTAAGGATGTGAGTTGTTCTAGTTTTAAGGAAATGCGAAGATTAACCCAGAATAGGAAAGAGTGTAGATGCGTGTCCAACCAGTCTTAAGACTGACGACCTTATGATGATGACTGCCTGGGGTGACCTGTCAATCTATTTCGCCTTCTTCTAATTGACTTCGTTAGTGACATCTGTCCTCCTATAGTTTCTAAATACCTCCTTATTTCTAATCTTTTCTATTCATTGTATTATTTAAATTTATAAAAATATCTTTTTGAAGAATTTTAAAGGAGTAGAAGATGTGGAAGGTACACTAAATTTTAACATCCGAAGGGCGGGGGGTGAAAGAAGTAGATAGGTTTGTAGGAAAACGTGAATACGTTCAGTACCTAATAGACAAAGTCTGAAAACCACTACTAACTAGAAATGACATTAACTAATGTATGCTTCGACAAATAAGTAAGTAATTCGATTTTAAGATGTAAATGTGTTCAATAACCATTGATATGTGGAAGGTTAGAAGGCCTTGTGAGCCCTTACACCCAATTAGCTTATGCTTAACAGCACACTTCCCAATCGGGAAAAAAGGGAAAGAACAGGTAACGTAAGTGTTCAATAAGCGTAGCTAGAAAGACCTAAGAGGCCAAAAACAACTACACATGCTTCAGGAATCGAAAACTTCTCATAAGATAGGGAATATAGCTTACGATTAATAATGAATTATCAATGGGTCCAAAATCTGAGTTTTTGAGATTATTTTTACTTATTTGAATATGTAAACATTCCCAAACGTCTGGTTCCAATTTACAAGAGACTTCTTTGATTAACTTTAAACATTTAGGGCCTACAGGGCGGTTTGTATTAAAAATATGCTGGGCAACACTTGACTTCTCAATCCGATTAAATCTAAAGTGAACAATATGTTCTTTATATCTTGTCAGGATAGACCTTTTTATTTGCCCAACATATTTAAGTTCAATATAGGCTTTAAATTGTGACTTATAGCATGAGGAGTCTTCTCCGAGAAACGCCATTGCATGTAACTAGCTAATTATCCATTTTAAAAAACAATATGAAATATGAAGATGAAGAAAGAAAAATGACTAAGTATTATGCATTCCATTTCATCTAAGAGTTTTTCTCAAGATTAGTAGTGTTCGAAATACGTGCCGAAGAAAAACTTTCTAAACCTTTAGACTAATCCAGTCTTGCACCAATATTAAAAGAAAGGCGAGAAAAATAAAAATTTATTTTCAACTGGACGGTTTATAATAGTTACATCATTAGAATTTTCCATTTTCTTGATTTTTATTATCAACAACTTTTTCGCCCTTTCGTCGATTGAGCAGCATTTGAATTTCGTCAAACGATTTTCCTTTCGTTTCCGGGAGTATGAAGAGTCCAAAGAGGAATCCTAGAAAGCAGCAAAAACTGAAGAACCACAAGCAAGTATACTCTCCCACAATTTCGCTCAATGGCTGAAAAGCAAATTGAAGACCAATGCCCAAGGTTTGTGCCAGCAACGTAACTGAGGACACGGCGACAGCCTTTATATTGATCGGATACAATTCTGAGGCGATCACGTAATGTATGGAAAGAATCCCAATCGCAACGAACACTTGAAAAAGCACCAAACTGGTAACTGGTAACCAGGAAATTGCATCAATATTATAAGAAGTGGCGTCTTGAAGATAAAAGTATAATCCTAGAGATAACATGCTTATAGAACACAACAAACTGGAGACCATGAGCAAGGGTCTTCTGCCAAAACGATCAACAATTTCTCCGGAAGCTAGAGCTGGAAATTCATTCGTATTAATTTCTTTTATTGATGGGTAGATTTACCCAAAATTATTTACCACCAACGAAATTGACGACTCCAAAAATGACACTTGCAGTGCTCGATGACATACTGCTTCCTGTTGCATTAATAATAGTTTGCATATACGATTTAATTACACCATTACCACAAAAAACGAATACCATCTTTACACCTACAAATATTCGAAATATTAATTTGAAGTGATTTTTTCGATTTTTTATTTACCCACTACAAACTATCTCAAATTAATGAGGGAAAAATTGTTGCTGTTGTAGGTCGGTTGGTCGTGGTTGTTGTTGTCACACCCCCACCCGGAATCGAACCCGGGACCTTTGGCTTTACGCACCAATGTTCTGTCCACTAAACTACGAGAGGTACCGGGTTCGATTCCCGGCGTGGGTGTGACAACAACAAAAATTTTTCCCTTATTAATTTGAGGTAGTTTGTAGTGGGTAAATAAAAAATCGAAAAAATGATTTCAAATTAATATTGCATATTAATCCACTATTAAGTAACTAACAATGTCATAGGATTTCATATATTTAAAATATTAGAAGTCTAAATCAGTTACCTCATCAACGGAATAAACAACTTACCGGTGTGCATAAACAGCGGTTTCCTATACATGCTGTTGGAGAAAAGTTCACAAATAGTTCCTTTATTTTGCATGTCCTTTTCTACCGAAGAACTGATGCTTTTGAATTGTGTTCCTAAAGAGGCTTCATCAGATGCATTATTTGCCAGTTTCTGAATGACCTTTTTGGCTTCATCATTGTTTCCTTTTTTAATTAAATGATACGGCGATTCCGGTATGAAGAAAGTGCTTATTACAGGAATAATCGAGGCACATATTGAAATAATGGCGAATGTTTTAAAGGACACGTAAGGTCCTACAATGAATCCTATATCCGTTCCAAGAATTTTCAAAATTGTCATCAGAAAGTTCAGCCGACCCCTGTTGTCATTGTGTGATATTTCACCAATATAAATGGTAGCACACTAGAAAGAAGTTCGTTATGTATGTAAATATCCAATGCTGACCGAAATGAAGAGCAAGGAGAAGAAAGGTGTATTTAAATTTCGTCTACCCTCATTGGGCGTTCTTTGTTTAATCAAAACTTTTGTAATTTACTTCAAAAAATGTTGAAACAAATGTTGGACCACTTTTGGACTGAACTGAAATATGCAGATTTGCTTGAAGGGATTTAGTTTGAAAAGGATTACTCAAGAATAATCGGGTAACTCTTCCAAGCAGTTTTTGACCACCCCTTTGCGTCCCTCATTTAATTTTTTGCGTTGAAATTATTTACAAATACACACCAGAACAATAGACCCTGAAAACTTACATTCATAGAAAGTATTATTGCAATTCCGCCCAACAATCTGGCTGCACATAGCATTTCTACCCCATTTGCGAAGTACATTAAAGCCCAAGATATTAAATCACAAATGCCTGCTGCGATAATAATGGCTTTTCTTCCAAAAACGTCTATTATCCACATCGTTAGGATACTACCCAATGTGCCCCCTACGTTGTACATGCTCACAACAGTTGATGATTGAATCTACAGGTAAAATAATAAGTAAATTGGCAAGTGTAATATTTGTGTATAAAGTTTTAAACAATTAATTTTATCGTTGGTTAGGTTGGGTCGACACTTTACAAGCGGCACCCATTGGGAATATAAATAATCTATGTGGTGTCGTCGGAAACCCGCTAAGAACGAAGTTTCTTAAGCTAATCGACAAATTATCATCATTATAAGGTCGTCAGTCCTTAGACTGATTGGACACGCACCTCAACTCTCTCCTATCCTGAGTTAATCTTCGCATTTCCTTTAAATTAGAACATCCCACATCCTTAACTATTCGCGAACTGTATTCTAATCTAGGTCTACCTCTACCCCCCTAACTCCCATTTATGCCTTTAATGTGTCTCTGACTAGACCTTTATGCCTGAGAAGGCGTCCTACCAACCTGTCTCGCCTATTTCTTATTGACTTCCATAGAGTCCTCTGTTCTCTTATTCTTTCCAATACCTCTTCATTTCTAACCTTCACTATCCACGGTATCCTCATCATTCGCTTGTAACACCACATTTTGAACGCTTCTAACCTTTTCATTTCCATAACGCTTACCGTCCATGTTTAGGACTCTTACAGCGCCGCACTCCTTACATACACCATAGAAATGACTTCTTCTGTGCTATCCTCTGCTTTATATCCCTACTACTTCTTCCGACCTGACTCCCTAGATACCAGAAATCAGCCACTTCTAATTTTCCGTCTCCTATCTTTATATTCGGTCTTTCCCTACTCACAAATATGTAACAGGCATTCGGTCAGAACTAACTGCTGAAAATATGTCAAAAGGACTGTCGGAATTTGGAACCAGATTAGGGAAAAAGGGAATTTAAAATATATATTTCTTTAATAACAATACAATTTAATTTTTCTGCCAAATGAATTCTTGCTACTTAAAAGTTACTTGCACTTTGAAAACTACTTTAAATGCTTGTAAATAAGGAAAAAAAAAAAAAAATTTCGCCAAATGATTTTTTTTGAGTAAAAATTATTCTTTCGCGATTAGAATCTCCATTGAAATATAAAGAAATTAGAGAGTAAAAATAAATTCATCTGGTAACGATGATTGTTTCTAGAATGAGGAACTTTATTCCAAAAATTATCCTTTATTAACCACACTTATAACTAGGGCAATCGGGAGGATCGTAATAAATAATTAAACTGAGAGTGAGCTATTTTGCTGCTTTGATTCATACGAGCTGGGCTTTTTCTGATTATTCTAAATGGATATAGGTACTGTTACGTGCATCAATTAATTTGCTATCGACTTCGCCTTCCGAAATTGACTCTTGTTTATAAAAAAACAGTTTAGACCGTAATCCTTGTATGTTTGAATAAGTAATAAATGTAAGAAAACTTGTTTACTTAACTGTTGTCAACGTAACATCTATGGGTGAATTTTCAGACCGTAGTGGAGGTAGATATGACGAAGACCATGATTCATGAATGGCTGTGACGGCCACAGTCGTAATAGCTTGTTAAACAAAGACAAATGAACATTATATTCGATGACGTCTCGTTTTTTCTCAATACATACCACAAACGCAGTAAAAGTACTGCCTGTACCGCAAATTTAATAACTTATTTTGTAACATTTTGTCTGCCAGTCAGGATATTGCACAGCCTACTTTACGAATAACTTCAAAAATGGTTGAATTATTTGGATACGTACGTACTACTTAATCTTGTAATATACTGAATTGATAAATTATTATTAAATTGATACCTATATCTGCCCGTTCTCCGAGTTATTGCGAAAAATATCTTTTAAAGTACGATAACAATTTTAATTGCTCACATTATTATAGGAAGGGTAATATTAAATTATATTAATATTTAAAAAATATTACTGCGGGTTGATTTTTAGAGGGTAAAAGAATCAACAATTCAATTAATTTAAAACACTCCTACATATATATGCAAAAAAATATAGGCGGAATGTGAATATTTAATAAATTTGCGGCTATGTCCTAATCTATAGCACCAAATAACCCACTACTTACAGATAACAGAATATTTTTAAAATCAACAAGTTCAACTTTCACTAATATAAGAAGCGAATGGCATTGAAAAAAAAAACGTAAAAAAATTGATAACATTTTAATTGTCAAATATGTTTGCTATCTCAAAAGTGTCACGATTCGGTTGAATATAAACAACTTTTTTTCAGGTTTAAAAATATGAGCAGTGTAATCTTTAATATATAAATTAACATTAAAGTATTAACAAGCTGATATGACAAAAGTCGAAAAATTAAAAACAATATTTTCTTCCAATAACAACGTACATATGTACTGACACAAATAATTGAATATTTGAGGATTATTTTTAGTTTTTCAGTTAGTTTATATGTAGATATATTAAAGACTGACGTTGTTTATGATTTTGTAGTTCAATAAAATTGCTTATACAGGGTGTCTGCGAAATAAGTAGCCTTTAATAACCTTTGCACGGAGAGTAAAGCAATGTGGTTGAGGAACAAAAGAAATTGTAAGAAGACCAGACGAAGTTGCAATCTGAAGCCGGCCCTGGGCGTGAAATGGCAATGTACTGAGAAATTGCTAAAACAAATAAACAACTACAACAATGAAAAATGTGAACAATGACGGTTCTGGAACGACTAATAGAGTAAATATCAACAGCTTAATATATCAATAGCTCACTATTACGCTACTACACATAATAATCTTTAGACGCTCATTACGATAACAATTAATTGCATAACTACTTTGTTCATAGCTGATAGTACGCGGTACTATTTAATGTAAACCTCGGCATGGTATTAAGAACACAAAATACAAAAGAAATATAACAGGGACGCTACAACTGATGGAATTTGGCGTTGCAATGTCATATTTCCCAGCATGACCCTACCAGGGCTGGACTGGTCCTTGACTGTACTTTTAAATGCGTTTTTCTCGAAAAGGTGGACTTTCGTACCACTAAACATTTACTTAATTTTCTTGTTTTATAGTGGTCTATCATCTCCTGCAAGCTTGCTCCTTATTTTAGAAACACTCTGTATACCTACAACTGAAACGTCGTTGTGCTTTGGAAATAAATATTTTTGACTGTGCTGCCATTTCTGTAAGAAGCAACAATGTCGATTTTGACAGCGTAGACTACGGGATGAATGGAATGTTTGAAGCCCTAAACGAGCTTATTAGTTGGCATGGAAATTCATCAGTCGTCATCAAGTTTTCAGATTAGCAACATGTTGCGCCCCCTACTGACAATAATCTACTTATATGATTTCCTTGTTAATTACGTATTCAAGGTCAATCAAAATATAATTAAAGTTTACTAATTTAAAACAAAGGGCTGATAATACATAAAAAAATTAAAAAAAAACATTATGATATCTTAATCAACTTTATTAAAGCCAGAAATCAGCCACTTCTAATTTTCCGTCTCCTATCTTTATATTCGGTCTTTCCCTACTCACAAATATGTAACAGGCATTCGGTCAGAACTAACTGCTGAAAATATGTCAAAAGGACTGTCGGAATTTGGAACCAGATTAGGGAAAAAGGGAATTTAAAATATATATTTCTTTAATAACAATACAATTTAATTTTTCTGCCAAATGAATTCTTGCTACTTAAAAGTTACTTGCACTTTGAAAACTACTTTAAATGCTTGTAAATAAGGAAAAAAAAAAAAAATTTCGCCAAATGATTTTTTTTGAGTAAAAATTATTCTTTCGCGATTAGAATCTCCATTGAAATATAAAGAAATTAGAGAGTAAAAATAAATTCATCTGGTAACGATGATTGTTTCTAGAATGAGGAACTTTATTCCAAAAATTATCCTTTATTAACCACACTTATAACTAGGNAGTATAAAGATTCTATACAGTAGGTTCACATCTTTGATCTGCTTAAAATACCGACATTTCTAGCAGGCCATTGTAAATTGACTTTATGTGCGCTGAACTGGGAAAACGTCAGCAGAAGAAGGCGTGGCTAAGAAGTGAACCTACTGTATAGAATCTTTATGCTGTGCTGTGTTATAGTCGCCTGTTTTTACCGCATGATGATTCTCTATATATACACAGCATGTTTCCTGTTAGACCCTGTATGTTTTTGTTACCAATATTTTAAATCCCAAGTGTATGTAAGAGTAATAATAATTTTGCTAGGTCAGCATTTCTTGGATAATAAAAACAAAGTTATTATTACCTAAGTACATGGGTATTTATTAAAAGAAAAAAAATAGCGCTAATAATGTTCATACATAAATAATACTTAGATAAAACACTTGAAATAATTGCGTATTACAAAAATTATTGTTGTTCAATCAATATTTTCCATCCAAAAACAATTTTTATATCCATCACTAACGGAATAGGTATCAGGTGTTTTTGTATTTTTTTTTATCAAAACCCATTCCCTACCATAACGTTCTTTAGTAACAATCACTTTAGTTTTTTTTTATTAACATTGTGGAGTAAAACAAAAGAGAATTTACGAGAAATACTTCTATAAGCAAATAGATAGGAAGGTAGGAAGATAAACATTCGCTTAAGACATTTGGACGACCGCTTATTTTTTCTATTATTTGAGATTAAAGATTATTTCAGTTATGTAGAAAAATTGTTGCTTAATAGATATCTAATCTATAGTTCAGCATTTATTTAGAGCAGATGCTATTTTAGAGAGAGATTAGTTAATGAACTGTTTTTTTTATCTAATTTTGTAACAAATAAAATTATTGAATTTTTAAGAAAATTCTCAAATCAATCCGATTAGTATAGATTATTGGTAGTACATGAAACATCGTAATTCACTGATCTACAAAAAATCTTTCCTCTATCTCTATCCCTGTCTTTTGACTATTCACATTAGTAAAATTTGGAATGTATAATTGATAAACTGATTTTGTAAATAAAAAGATTTATAAACCATGTTCGCAAACATTTTTAAAAAGGGGAAAACGAAAAGGTTACACATTTTCGTCGTAATTTCAAATTTAATCCCGTATGACTGCTCCAGCACATCAAGATTATGAAATATTTTAACTCCAAAATCTAAATCTTTCCAGTTAGGTAGAATATCTCGAAATTTCAATATATTGGAACAATTTCGAAATTCAATTCGAGTTAGCCTTCAAAAAATAGAACTAGAATAATGATTACATTCTGTGTGTTTATCGTTTTCAACCCGCCACAGTTGTGCGCTCTTTTTTGAGACCTTCCTCTTTTTTGAGGACACTAATATAAGAAGTTGAAAAAGAAATCAGAAAATAAAGTAATCCTTATAGATGTAGATATATACCTATTGCTTAATAGCGCACTGAAATGAGGTCTCAGATAAAATTTGGAAATACCCTAACCTCAAAACCAAAGAGGCTATAACGAAAAACCCTGTGATAAAATCGTTTTTTTTTGGACAGTATATTTAGATAATACTTTTAGAACTAAAAATAAGTAGAAATTTTCATACAATTATTCCAATAATAGCGAAAAAACAAAATAATAAATGCATATAAATCTCCAGTCGTGTTATATATCGTAGGATGTTACCCTTTCGTAATTATAGTTGTAACACGTGTTATAATAAACCTGAATTACTCCATTTTTTTTAAATATGGTCAATAAAATTCAGCCTGAATTGACATAATTTGCTTACAAGATAAAAGATAGATATGTTTGTTTATCAATAATTACGCAAACAGCGAAACTGAAGCAGCGCTACGCGTGCTCCCTGTCTACTACAGAGTAGTGACGTTACGCGCACTCTCCAAGGCCACAGAAGCGTTTTGAATTCGGACGGTTTTCAAAATGTAGTGCCTCTCTCAAAAACTATTTCTGGTCAGAAGGAAAAAATTTTATTTAGAAAGTCGTATGAGTAGATAGTAAAAAATTTCAAGTCCCAACCCCATTTCGAGAAACAATATCACTGGTCTTAAGTTTCCTGATCATGTTAATCTATGGCATCATTTGAATTCGAGTTTCGGCAAGTTTAACACGCCCTTGCTAATCTAGGAAATGCTTCATGAGTGGGGCAAACAAAGAGAAAAAAGTAAGAGAATAAAAGTAATAAGCGATGCAGCAGTTAGGGGTTGCTTAGGTACACAAAAGATCAGCGTCGGCTTTATAATTTTTTTTTGTTTTGGGTGTTTCATTCCCACTAGCCAGTAATGCTAGTGGGCGGGCAGTCCCTCCGGACTACGCCGGAAGGTAGGGCGGAAGGCCCTCTTCAGCCTACTTTCAGGAATCGTGGGAATGGGTGGGTGGTGGTTCGGATGAGAAAGTTGAGACGGACGAAATCAAGACAGAAGAGAATTAAAGATTATCGGTGGAATACTGTTGCCCCAATATTTGCCTAAGTGATCCAAGGAAACCACAGAAAAACTTG